ATTAATATGGCAAGAACCAAAGAGAGGTGCAGATCAATTGAACCCTCTGAAGAAGAAGAAAAACTGTGTCTGCAGATCTCAGGCACTGTCTTCTTGCTGCAGTACCACCTTGTGCTTGACCGTATTGGACAAAACCTGTCTCCAGCTCCCTTTTTTCTGTCCGTTTCTTGCATCTCGCTGCACCGGGGCAAACTTCCCTGCTGCTGTTGCTCACTCGTGGCATGTGCCCTGCTGAATAACTTCCCCCTGAGTGGTGCTGACAAGTTGACATCTTTGAGACTTGTCCATTGCTTTGTGCGTGTGCGGTTACTCCATTCGTTGTGTCGAGTCCAGAGCATCCACAATCATGTCAGTCCTCAAGCGTCTCTCTTCTTTGGATGCCACCAGTTAACAAGGAAACGTAGAAGTGCTCCCAGACGGCCTGGAGCTGCTGGGCACCTACTGAGTGCACGTTTCTATCTCTGTCTCCAAACTTGCTAGGCTCAGGTACAGGTCTGGCGTGGGAAACGCATTCACAAACTCCTTTGGCATAAATGGTGGCATGCACTTTCTTCAGGCTTCTTGAAGTTCATATGGTTTTCCAAATACTTCTTTTGCAGCTTTTCATCAGTAGCTAGCCATTGCATGGGTCTTGATTCTAAAATGACCAGGTACAATGTTAATTTTTATTCTCTTAAGTCAAAACCAAAAAATCAAACTAATGGATTCTGCTCTTTTTTTATAGCTAGCTTCATTCTCTTCCTTCAAGGCCTTTCATTTATCATCAGACCTACCTTTTACCTGGACTTTCTTGTTTTCTTGTCCTCCCTAAGTCCCATTAATCTCTTTTATTCCATTTATTCCCTCAGTCTTTTCTTTTTTTTCCTTTGAAAGCCTTTACTGACTAAATGTTATGGCCAAGTTATTTTCTTTCTCCAGTCTCCCTCTTCATTCCCTTCCTAATTTTTTTTCATCTGATTGGCTAATGTGTTTTGGTTGGCTTTTTTTAACATCAGATTTTTTTTTGGTGAAAACGAATTTTCAATATGAATGAAACACCCAGGAATGAAATGCTACAAAAATGAAGCCAAGAGGAGAAGAATGGTTAACTTCAAAATATAAAATAAGAGTTTTCATGAAATGAATCTAAAATAATTTGTACAGCTATCGCTGTGATACAGAGAGAGCCCTGCCGCTGAACTGACAAACAAATGAAGAAACCACCCCCCGCAGAGGGCAGTTCAAGGACAGGTGCTGGTAAGGGTCCATGCCGTCGCTAACGCTCCCACTGCTCCAGTGCTCTCCTGCCCGTGCCGCTCTGGTTGCTCTGCTCCCCTGCAATGCTGGAGAAGCTGATGGTGGCATTCCCTGGCAGTCGTGGGGTAAATGAAGCCATTTGGTTTAGCCCCTTATGCCTGATTTGGCCAAGGTGCTGGAACCAGGCAAACTGTGTGCACAGCGTAATTATGAAGGCCACCTGGATTTTTTTCGTTTGTTCGGTCCTAATCTTTCCCTCAAGGGAAGGGGCTCTGGGTGAAGAGCCATGCCCTCACGGGTGTCTGCACTCCTGAAGTGACCCCTGTCTTAGCTGAGGATCTCTGCTTGGAGCTTTATGAACTCGGAGCTTCTTCCTAGGATCATTTTGCGAAGGATATCTTCAGGGTGCCCTCCCTTCTTTTCCTGAATATGTTTGCCGGATATCAGCTCCTGCTTGCACCAACACCCAGATGTCCAATTTCAGCATCCCAGCTCTGCCCCATTAGTGGGGCAGGAGTTCCTGATGCAGGACGACACCTTGGGATCTGTTTTCTTTACTCGTTCCTTTACTGGCGCCTTTCTGTAGAGCTATTAGATAATGCAGTGCAATCAAAGAACCCGGTAGAGTAGTATTGCACGTCTTTCCTTTCTTCCCCTTCTCCTTTCAGCTATATTTGTAAGCTTTTTCCTGATGTCCTTGCTTGTTGTTAGTCATGCACTGTTCAGATTTTATCCAGGATGTGTATTGTCTTCCTCATTGGGAAGTCTTCTACGTTTTATGTCTAACTTTTGGAGCTTTCTTCTTGATTGAAACAGGGCAAGAAACGGATCTTCACCGGACAGGTCAATATTCCATTAGCGTTGCAGGGCTGTGGCCTGGTTTATCTGCCTAAGGATCCCACTTCAGTTTGGGACTGTTGTTAGTTGTGGGGTTGATGGCCTGTAAAAATACTGAACTTTTTACCCTCAAAAGCTGAAAATGAAAGGGGGGGGGAAAAAAAAAAAACTACCAGAAAGGAAAAAAGAAACTACCAGGCTCTGTGTAATCTGCTTCTTGATTAAACATATAAATCTTGGACTTTGTGCTGGTAATGTGCAGACATCCTTGGAAGAAGTAAGACTCCTGTTAGATGAGTGTCTGCGTTTTGCAGAGACAAGTGCAAACATTTGTCGCTTCAAGGAAGTCATCTGGTACCTTGTTGCGGCCATCGGTACAGTGCAAGTACCACTAAGTGTTGCTGCTGACGTACCTTGTGTTCACAGAGTATGTCGAGAAGGCCTGGCGTTTGAGCACAAGTAGCAAGAAAAGATGAAAGGTCAGTGCTACTAAATGAACAGGAATCTGTGCTTTGGGAAATTGCATAGTAACGCTGATAAAAGTGCCGCTATTATTAAAGTTGCAAAGCAGAAAATTCTGTTTGTATGAAAACTGAGGAGTTTCAGAAGTAGCGAGCTCTCAATCTGGCAGGTTGCTCCTCAAAAATGAAAATTTCCAAGCAGGTTAAGCAAGATCCAGCAGTTCTTTAAGTTAAGGAAAATAAATAAAACACTTCTCTCTCTCTTTTTTTTTTTTGTTGTTTATGTGGTGTCATTCTTTAAACAACTACCAATTTCTCTTTTCCAATTTTATTATTATTTGTGCATGTGTGTAAGACAAAACTAATGCTGAAACAGCCAGAATTTGAAGTCTAATCTGAATGTCATCAGGATTTGGGGGGGAAAAAAATCTGACTTGAGGTCTGTTTTGAATGTCATCAGGATATCTGTTTTTTTGCTAATTTAAATGTTTAATTCTGGATTCGGGGCTGGCTGTGATTAGCAGTTACCTGCGTAGATGTGGTTAGCAGAAGGGACAAATCAAAAGTCACCTGATTAAGTTTCTTGCTCTGGTAAGTTGGAAGCTGTACTCCAGATGAGCCTCTCCAGCTTTCTGTCATCAGGGCAGTCCCGCAGTTTGTTTTCTGAACGGATGAGACTGTCCTGGGAAGGGAACAAATATAGGGAGTGTTCGCAGTCCTCGTTGCTCGGATTCACACGAGAGAGCGCAGTCAGCTTTTAGGTGACTACCGGGTGAGTTGAGATGCCCAATAGTGAAATTAGACGAAATACACCTTACAAACAAAACTCCTTATCCAAAATTTTATGCAAAAATATGCTGTGCTCCCTCCTCCAGTTGCGCTGCCTCCGGGCCCTTGCCAGGTTGGCTGCACTTCTCAGAGCCAAGCTTGGTGGGCAGAGGATAGCTCCTGCTGCAGAGGCACCCCGGCCACTGCATCCCGCTGTAATCCTCCCTGGCGCCCCTGCCGCCGGGGAAGAGCAGAGGAGGTGAATAGCAAGAGCAGAAATCGGGGGCTTCTCTGACCATGTTTCCATCATCTTGCCCTTCTTCGGTCTAAGAAAATTAAATGGAAAAGTGGCCGTTGGTAAAGGATGACTTTCGGGAGCTCAGAGGTTAAGAGGGGAAGCTCTTAAAGTGGAGACTGTGTTACAGGGTGCTGCACAAGGGCCATGGAGACATACGTTTCTCAAATGGGCAAAGGATTTTGTGTATGGTGTACATGGAGTATGTTTGTCTAGCTTCTCTCTTCAGCTAAAATTGTAGAAACCATTAAAATTTGCTGTCGGAGATAATTTGAGGGTCCAACTAGTATACAAGCATTAAGTTGCAGCAGTAAGCTTCCACGCTGCATTGATCTCCTCTTGTCAACACCAGGCCCTGTTAATACGAACATGAGCAAACCGAATACTGCAGCATTTCCAGTTGCAGCCCAGTCTGGGCTGGTGCTTCATCTTCTACACTTTGTTCACTTATGTTGATGTCCGGACTCAAAACTGAGGCTTTTACATATGTGAACTTGGGCTCCACAGAGCGAGCTGAGGAATTAAAGTTTCTGTTCAGAATCTCCCCATCTGTAGCAGCTACATGCAGAGCCCCATCAAGGAAGGGGAGATGACAGCAAGCTTCCTAAAATTCTTCTGAACGTATTCCGTCCCTTCTTAAATGTTAGGAACAGAAGCAAAATTTCATGAGCGTATCATGAACGCACTGTTCCCTCCCTGCAGGGATGATGCAGTGGGGTGATTCTGCTTGTTGTAAGAAGCAGAGCTTAAAATAAAACAGCAGATAGGAATGTATGCTTCCAGCGCGTAGAGGTTTCTTCATGTCGTAAACAAGCACAGAGCTTTTAACAATTACCTCATCAATGTCCATCTGATAGATATTTTGCTGTTTTCATTGAGGCAGCTAGCTACTCTTACTATGTCTGTGTTTTCCTAAATGCCTTTTTTCCCCACATCCCCTCTGTTGTTACCGTTTTGCGTTTTGTCTCATTTCCTGGTCAGACAATTTTAATCAGCATTTCCACTATCTGATTTTGTCACTGTGTTTCTTTAGCTCTTCACGCGTTCCTTCTATTGTATACCTCTTCAGTTCTTTTTATTTTGCTTTTTTTTTTTTTAGTACTTACGTTATATGCAGTATTTTATCTTCTTCCTAGTTTTCCATTAACTTTCTGGAGCAGTAAGTCTAAGGGAAGAGTGCTAATAGCTGAGAGATCATCCTTGGCATACTTAATTGGAGTCAGACCATTTGAACTTGTAACACTTGGAAAATGAAAGTTAATACATGTGTTTTGTTATTCCCATGGAAACAAGATATTTATAATGAGCTTCTAAAAACAAGCTACAAACATACACAAAGGGGCTGATTCTTTGTAGCAGTTGCTTAAGAGAAGGGTGTTTTTTCTTTCTTTCTTTCTTTTTAGTTTAACCTTGTGACCTCTCGAAGGCTGGTGTTAGGAAATGGCTTCATCTTTAACGTGAACAAGGCAGTAAGAAAAACAGCAGGCATAAAGGGAAGGTGCCGCTGCTTTGCGTAGCGCAGGGTCTTCCTGTTTTCCCTCTGCCCTTTCAGCCCGCCTGGCCTGTTTGCTGCTCCGCGTTGCGCCCAGGCGCGTGCGGCGGGCTGGACCGGGCCGTGGGGCCGTGCGGCAGGGGAGGGCCGCTGCCGGGAGCACTTGGGGGATGCCTCTGGGCGCGCCAGGGGCTGCAGCATCACTGCTGGGTGACTCAGGTGCGCGGTATCCTTTCATCCCCTATCCTGTTCGCAGTGCCACTGCAGTGACTGGCGTTTGCTGGTGTAGAAGAGCATCATGGCAGCATGACGCACGTTTCTTTTTTCTGTTGGCTCCAGCAGCAATACAGCATTGCTTTGTGCACGTGCAGATCCAGTTTGGGGTTACACCTGAAGTTGGAGGAGGGGGAAAAAAAGGTCTTTCCCTTTTCCCAGCGTCCATGTGACAGGGAACAGATCAAATTTAAGAGGTAGGAATGGCCATGTCTCTGACCAGAAGGAGATGCTCTTTGTCTCTCTTGCCATCCTTAATGTGTATTTTTCTTTCAACACAGAAGAAAAGATAAATACGTTTTGATCCTTTACCTGGTCAATGTAGGAGTCAGATTTCTACATTTGTTGAATAAATAAATCAATCAATAAATAAAAGAAGCTAAGCCTGAATCTAAAGCCCTTGGAAAGGAGTCAGCATGAACTGCTAGAGACTTTGCTAGTTCTGTGATCATTCCCATTCCTCTTCCCATCAGGGTCCTGACTGATGCTCCAAGCTAAGCAGTAGCAAACATGATTGGAGGCTTCTAAGTAGCCTGTGTGCTGCACAAAATTGCGTTTGAAAGGTCTGTGTGTCAGACTTGGCTGTAAGTCTCTAGTGACTAAGGGCTTTAGTGGAGTCTTATGCTAAAGCTCTGCAGTGATTGCCAATGCAGGCTTTTTTTTTTTTTTTTTAAATGAGAGGCAAAATAAAATGCAGTTCTGACCTCTTGAGTTAGCTAAAAGTCTTCAGAAGAGGGATGTTAATCCTATTAATGAGAGTCCTGGACAAATTCCAAGTAGCTAATTGCAGTATGTTCCATGTGTCTTTCTGATTAATGAATTATTGGATTATAGTCTTCATTTCTGCTGTCACTATAGTCTTTTACTAGCTAATTCCATGAGATATTCCAGCACATGCTTCACCTAAAGCAGGCAAGTAGTTGCAAGCAGCAAAGTTTGGTCAAAAAAACAAATAAAGTTTATTTCTGGCTAAAATTGGGAGTGTGAAGGGTGTAGGAATTTGCTGCATGTTGGGCTGCCTTGGAGTAAAAGATAATGCAAGCAGACCATATATAAAGTGTTGCATTAATGCTGAGTTTTCTTATGAATAACCAATTTCACAGCAGTGTAAAAACCTGGGATTTGCTACCTAATTGTTGCTGTCTAAAAGCGAGAGCTCTCACTTGCCTGTTTCGCTAGCGGAGGCAGGGCAGGGGGATTAGACTCCCGAAGGTGTGGGAGATAGGAGCTGAAGGTAGGTGGATGAATTGCTCTTTGTGACCCTTGGTTAGGAAGGTCAAATGAGGTTTCCGTGCGTGGTTTTTCCAGCCTGATCTCTCTGTTGCCAGTGCACACTTTCTCTGTCCTTGCAGTCTATCGTTTATTCCTGTATAAACAGCTGTCACTGTTGAAAGAACTGGTCTGGGCTTTTTTGCTAATTTGCTTGAGACACTCTCTAAATTGGCATAAAAAGAAATGCTTAGGCTGCAAACAAAACTGATGTAGTAGCGTGTTTCCCAGCAACATGGACCTTCAAATATTTCTTTGACTTTGAGAGTTTCCTAATGTTGTAAGCAATTGAAAACATCTTTTGCTATTAAAGATGGTACTATTTAAGGCCACATCAGTGTAAATATCAGAACATTTTTTTGAAATGTTTCTGTGTGATCTGCTAAATTTTAGTTTAAAACGTATGGTTAAATTTCAGCGTGCAAATTTTTTGTTCTAAACTTCAGGGAATGTGTAATTTAACACACCAAAAAAAATGTTTCTTGTGTTTGTTATAATGCGTAGCAACCAAAATAAACTATATGTACATATATGTACTCTGTGTGTGTATATATGTATATATTTATGGTGAGCAGTCTCTCAAAAGCTGTGGCCTCATACCTCAATTTGAAGATGAGGAACACTAAAAATAGTTTAGTATTGGGGAAAAGAAATGAACAGCGTGTGCTCTACTACATTCTCTCCTGTCTAAAGTGAACATTTTTAAATGCTAGAAAACAGACTTGCATGAATCTCCTTTTGGCTAAACGCGTCTTTGCAATAAATATTGAGATTTATTTGTAAGCGTTTTATCGGTTGAGCTGGTTAGCCTGACAGGTGTAAAACCTCTGCGGCAGTGACTCTAAATGGATGTTGTTTGTAAAGTGTTGATCCCCCCTCTGCTTCCCGGGCTGTAGCAAAAGCTTCTCCCCTGAAAGGAAACGTAACCTGTTCATCACTGTGGGCACAGGGACTTCCTATTAGTTTTGAAAAGACCAGGAAGGCTTCAGGTCTGGATTTCTGAGGCTTTTATGATTGTATCATACTGCTAAATTGTGTTTTCCTTACACCTGGGGATGTTTTAAGATGGCAATGGTCTAAGGAGGAAAATGGCTATTGAATTTAAATGTATCATTTAAAATTCACCAGTGTTCAGTAGCGGAGGAGGGATTTCAAATTTTAGTGATTTTTTTTTTAATGATTTGCTTGCCCACAACAGGATTGTTCCTTAATTTACTGATGAACACATGAATAAAGTGACCTATGAGTTGTATGTCATAACCAGAGTCATTCAAAGAGAAGTAAAAAACGTTCAATAACTAAACTCACCTAGGTTGCTTCAATTCCTGCTTTTTATGCATGCAGGCTTCCCAAGTCACCAGTGCAGTGAGACTGCCGGGTTTTTAATGAGCTGCAGGCCTTCTGACCGCAGGCCAGTTCCTTCTAGCTCCTCTGTCCTTGGTGAGGGTGGAGGAGTAAAGCTTCTAAAGCGCTGCCCTAGTGCCGTGCGTAAGGAAGGTGGTGCCGCAGGGGCTGTTTTACTCGGTACCCCAAATAGGCTGAAGGACTCTTCCTTTTCTGTTACGGTTTTCGGTTGCAAGCTGAAACCGTTTTGCTATTTTTGGAACGCTTGTTGTACTCTCTTATCATTTCTTTCAATTTCTGTATGTTTCGTCAGGGGAAAGTCTTCCAGAACTATCACTTTTGAGCAGTTTAAGGAAGCTCTTCAGGAACTCTCCAAGAAGCGGTTTAAAGACAAGAGCGATGAGGAAGCGGTTCAAGAAATACATAAACTAATTGAAGGCAAGGTCCCGATTATATCTGGAGTAACGGTATGTTACTATTTGCATGGCTGGAATGTTTTAACTGTTGTCCTCCTTCTGTCCCTGTGCTGTTGTGCTCACCTGTTTCCTTTTACAAGCCACAAGGCGAAGCAGCGCGTCTCAGGGGGCCTGGAGGAAACGCCTGCACTGAACTAGAAGCGGGAGCAGAGCGTGTGCAGCACCTGGAATATTGCACTGCTGCGCGACCCTGCACGGCGCCGTCATTGCTTCTGCTAGGGCCTGCAGTCTCGCCCAGCAGGGTCGTCAGAACCATCCAAGGAGAGCTTTAGCATGTGGTCAAAGCTCAG